CAATGTAAGTAATAATGAAAAATATTTACATTTACCCTCTACTCGTTGCGAAGATGTACAAAGTTCAATATAATAAAGCTTGCAATTAAAGCTTGCCAATTGATTGATTAATTAATTTTTTGTTTTCAAGGAGAACTATATACAGCTCGGGAGCGTATTGGTTACTTCTCAGACCGATTGAAATCACGAAGCTGAGTCAAGAATTGACGAGGTAGCGCTTTATCTGCGAGGCTGTAGGGGGCGAGAAAGAAGAGGAAGGTACTACGCATCGGGTCTCAGGCTCCACAACAAGTTTATTGCGGCTCAGAGCTTCTACAGCCAGCGCAGCACGACAGTCGGAGCACACTGACTCACAGTATGATGATGATATACGGGCTCAGCTTGCTGATCAGCAGAGACAGATTGCAGACCTTAGAGAGCATGTGATGCGGCTGTCCGGTGAGCCCCGTGCTGGTACTTCTTCCGCTGATCCTGCGCTTGCTACAGACCGACATGTTTCGACGTCTCCGCAGCAGCCACTACCGGCTCCTGATCCCGATGCTGCAGCCGATACCTTGGTCACCCCTCCTGGCGCTACATCACATCCAGCAGCTACTCCTCCCGGCGATCCGACATCACTCGGCGATCACATGCGGATCCTCTGCGATGAGCAGCAGCATAGATTTGATTTTGGGACCTTTTTTAGTTTTTTTATTTGGTATTTTGATATTTTAATTGTTCAGTACAATAAATTACATTTTTACTTTGTTCTTGATTGCCAATGGTGGTTGATATATATGTATACTATGTCATTTTTCAGGCAGGTAACGGAAAAATTTTGGTTTCATAATAATATTTAAATTTTTTTTATTTTTTTTCATTTTGGTGGACCGATTTGCGACCCGATTTGATAAACCGAAAATTACAAATTTTAAATTACCATTTTGCGACTCGCTTTAAAATTTTGCGACCCAATATTTTTCTGCGACCAATTGGCATACTGAAATTTCAATTAAACCACGACAAAAAAATTTTGCCGACCGATTATTCAATTTTGCGACCCGATATATCGGTCGGAAAGTGGCGACCGATTAAATAATCGGTCCGGCAATATCTTTGGCGACAGGTATTTTTTGCGCACCGACAAATTTTCGGTCGGCATATCGGTCGCAAAATTTTCGGTCGCATATCGGTCGCAAAGATCAATTTGCGACCGATATACGCAATTTTGCGACCGATTTGTCGGTCGCAAAATAGCGTTTTTTTTTAGTGATCATACTATAGTTCATGGAAATCAAAAATTAAACCATAAAAAAGAAAGAGAAAGAGAAAATAAGTAATCTTTCCTTATGAATCATTTGAAAATTTCTAAGTTTTCATGCACCTTTAGCATTCTTGAAAATTTGGGTAGATGCTAATAAATCTTTCCACGTGTCATCATGTTCCAAATTATTAAAACTGAATTTGTAAAACTGAAATGCAAGAAACACTAGGAAACTAAAGCTGATACTATTATCATTGACCTTATTAAAAGAAATCCTTTTATTTTTTAATTTCTTTGCTCACTCCATTACTCCAATATTGGTTCAGCCTGAAATCTCCATAAAAAGAATAATTCAGATTTCAAAAGCTGCTTAAACAAGAGCAAAACCTTTCTAAAATTACCAAACTTATCCTGTAATAGCTTGCATCAATATACAAGTGCAACATAAAAATGTCAAAATCCCTAATTGCAATTTCAACCTTGCATAACCTCTATCCAACATTGTTTTAGATAATGAAACAGCAAATCACATTAATCAAGCTAATAAGTGTGCAAAACATTGTTCTAGATAACGGCAATATGATATTTTCATAATTTGAAAATTCGAAGAGCAAAAAATAAATAGCGAACCTGAGATTATAGGTTCAGTTATAGGGAAAACCTGATAGTGGGTTTCTGTTCAAAGAATAATAAGAACATAAAAGAAGAAATCGAGAAGGAATGAAAAGAAGAATAACCAGAAGAAAGAATCAGAGAGAGATTTTACTGAGATTATCAAAATTGGAAGACAATTCCCTTTTAAATAAAATTGATACTGTAACTGCTCCTTACAAACTACGGTTCATTAACTAATTACTGCTCCTAACAAAATATTTAAAAGAAATGTAATTTAAAATATTTTTATTAGGACTGATTTTTGATTTTTTTTTTTTTTTCAATTTGAGTGGATTTTTGTTATAAATTTATTTTTAAATACACATCTATACGTAATTAGATCTTTGAAATTTTTAATTTTTTAATTTATTTTTCAGAAAATATTTATTGTTAAATTTCTATATTTTTTATTTTTCTACAATTTGATTTATATAAAATTAATATTTTAAATTTTTTTTTGATTTGATTGGATATATTTTATTAAAATTAATTTTTTAAATAAATACTTGTAGATAATTAAACCTTTCAAAATTTGTAAGTTTTAACTTTTTCAAATTTATTTTATTTAAACATATATGATAATAAAACATTTGAAATTTTTTAAATTTTTGACTTTTCAAAGTCATTTTTAAATTTTGATTTTATTTTGATTTAAAAGATTTTATTTTAGGAGAGGGACAAGAAAAGAATATATTTTTTATTTTAATATTATTTTTTATATTTGTATAATTTGATTGGATATATTTTCTTGACTTGACTTTTATTTTCTTTTTTTTTTCCTATCAAAATCAAATTTCATTATATCATGATCTTCTCAGTTGGAGAAGGGGCTGACTTTTAACATTCAAATCGGTAATTTGTTTAAATAGATGATCCTCGGATGATTACATACTATAAATTTTTTGATATTTTTTCTTTATATTTTAAATTTATTTGACTTAAAGGAAAATATAGTTTAGGAAACTGGAAAAAAAAAATCTAGAATTATATAATTCTGTTTTGAGTCACATTTTGGGATTTCACGGGTCCGTGTATATGAATATGTTCATTTTTATAATGTATTGTCTAAGTAATATCGTCACTATAGCCAAAGTAATTCCCACCAGCATTCTTACTCATGTTACTTTTAAACAATTCAAATCATTTTTTCATTTCTTTTCTTTTACCTAGCAATAAGAAATAATTTTTTATGTTTTTACTTTTACATTATAAATATACATAAATATTGATTTAGGGTTGGGCTACATGGGATTGAGGATTGAATGATGGTTTAATTTACTTTTTGAGCACCTATTAAGGTTTTAAGAATCTGCATGTATAAATTAGGAGCTGAAATTAAATTTAAAGGTTGAATTCACTTGGGAGCTAGAAATATTTTTCAGTGGGATCATTTATTTAATTTGATTTTTAGTGGGGCAATTACGCTAAAAGTTTTAAAATTTTTCACTTAAAAGTATATTTTTCAAACTTTTTTTTATCAATTCAACTCTATAATATATAAAAGTTTTAAAATTTTTCAATTAAAAGTATATTTTTTCAAACTTTTTTTATCAATTCAACTCTTAATATATATATATATATATATATATATATCTATATATTATATATATATATATTATATATTTTGGAAAGTTGGGTGGGACAATTGATCCCACTAATCTAGCTGTGGCGCTGCCTCTGGTTAGGTTGAACTTGATTTGAATACGACTTCATTATATAAAATAGAATTAAGTGTATAAAATTAGTATAATAAGTAGTTTTTAGAGCAAACTATAATGTAAATAACTATTATATTTATTTTAATCTAAATAAACTTATATTTTGTATTCATATAAACAAAAAAAATTAAATATGTAATTCACATCATAAAAAGACTAGTTATATATAAATATTATTAATACTTTTTGTTTTTATCACTACATCGCCTGGTATTCTTCAATAAACAAGGAGAATGATGATGAGAATTATGAATATGGATGATGATGGGTCTTTTGAAAAAATTCTAACAGAAATTAGAGAAGAAAAATATGAATCCAAAGTACTAGAATTGTTTCAACATAAAATTTTTAGAAATTTTGTGCGTAGATTTGAAAAGGAAGCCATTAATAAATCTATAGAGGGAGGTGATCGTTTAGGTGCTTCTGTAACTAAAAATAGGAGAGGCAGTAGTGGAAAAGATATATTAATGGAAAAAACTTACGGAAACAAAGAAAAAAAACAACAGTCGATTGCTGGAGAATGAGAATAGAGTTTTGAAATTGAAGATTATGCAAAAGAAGAAGAAAGGGAAAGCAAGAGACTTGAAAAGCTAAAGAAGTTGACTAAGACAAAGAGAGTAAATTTAAAAGAATTGGGATCAGAGCCACAGCAAAAGGAGTCGAAAAACCTAAAAGAGTAAATTTAAAAGAACTTAGGTTAGAGCCACCACCGGACATGCCAAATGAATGGAAGAGGGAAATGATAAAAAAATAGGTACTGAAACCAAGTTACCCATAATAAAACAAATATTTTAGAATTGATACAAGCACCCATTGTGGCTGTTTTACAATTCCTTGGAAGCAAATTAAAAATTCACAAGTTTCTTACAGTAGACGACGGAAGAGACCTAAATTCACCTAAAGAGACTTTGACTAATGGAACCATTTGGATGAGTCTAAGTTGAAAGGAAGTTTTAACTATTAGATGGAAGGAAATTTTAGAAATAAATTTTACTGGTATGAATTAAATTACCATAATATAACTTTGATAATTTCGAGTTAATGTAAAACAAAACTATATTATCGTCATTCTCATTATAGTGGTAGTAAATTGGAAATAGTGCAAGTTCTAGTCATAACAGTACTAAAGTAGGTTTCTTTTTTATTTGATCAAGAATAAGATTTTGCTTTATTTAGTCAATATATGGTTAACTCTTTTTTTTTTTTTTTTTTTTATATGGTTAACTCTTTTTTTTTTTTTTTTTTTGTTAATAATAATAATGAAGATGTTAAAACTATATATATAAATATAATATATATATATGTGAAACAAATAAAATAAAATAAAATAAAAACAACTTTGTATATATATATATATATATATATGCTGAACAAATAAAATAAAATAAAATAAAAACAACTTTGCCACTAAAGATGGTAATAAAACTGCAAAAAGAGGCTTTGCACAGGAAAATGGCATAAATTGAACCAAGGAATTTTTTTAACACAAAAATTGACCAAAACGCCCTCTGGCAGGTTGCAGTGTACAAGTGAGTAAGTTTGCTGAACTGTCCCAACCAATGGTCTGTTGAGCCTCTCTAACTGTGGAAACATCATTTGTTCTTGTGACTTACACCTGTCTCCTTCCAATCTATCCATAAGTGCCGGACAGTGACATATGACCCGCCAATCAACATTTTCAAAACTTGATTCTCAACTCATCTGTATCTCTCGTGACATATAATCAACAGCAGGGCAAGAAGAAAAATTTCACCAAGAGTGGATGTGGAGCCTACCCATTATGCAATTTCGCAGCAGCAGCTTGGAAGAAGACTCAAGAAGGGGTCTTCTTTTTCTCTTCTTGTCATGATTAGAATTGAGGATTACTATTCGGATTCACTGTCCATGCTCTCCATTCCCTTTAATCCCCTTCTCTTTTGCTGCTATATTCATGAAGAAACCGATTTTAGTCTTCATAATCGGATGGTTGTACATAAGCATGCATATTAATAATAACAGCATGATTATAGTGGTTAGGCATTTAGCCAAGAAGCACAATGGAGACTAAACCTATTTGCGCCAGATCTGGCTCAATCACGAAGAAAATTATGGATCGAGCAGGTGGAAAACCTTCGAAAATATGATATATTGTCCAGGCTTAAACTCGACCCATGTACAGGTATACCCTAAACTGAGACCCTTATTGTCATTTCCCTTCAACCACTAACTCCATTCAGACATATTTCTAGTTAAATAATAAATAATAATAACTCCAACAAAACCCTTTTCCTATGTATTCTTGCTATTTCCCTTCATGTATTATAATCTCCACCTTCTCCTTTTGATAAAGTATTTTATATAATCCACACCGTCCCCATTAATATATTATTGCTAATTTACTAGTATGCGTGTGTCTCAAAAGGGCTCATGAACAGTTCTTGATTATTTGAATAAAAGAAAGCTTAATTTCTTTAATCAAGCAAGAAAATAAATTAACAGATCTTGTGGTAGAAAGATTGATTAGGTAAGAGTAGGACCCATAACTACAAAGTACAAATCACACGCATACATAAAGCTGGGATTCGTGTCTACCACGCCTAACACAAATAAATGAGCCAGCCACACCAATGTTTCATTAAAGTAAATGACAGTAACCCAGGCATGTGCCTGTTATTTGATGATCATTCTATTATGATAATTAGAGTTTGTATTTCCCATATTTCAAATATTTCATTTCCCAGCTTTTAAGATCCATTTGAATAAAAATAAATAGTCATTTATATTTGATGAAAAACCATTAAAAAATTAATATGTTGCCAATCTAAAATACTCGGGCATTTCAATGACTTGCTCAAATGAAAATTTTCAATCTATAATTAAATTTGTGTTCAATGCTTCAAAAGAGGTAAACAGGGTGCATAGGAAGCTAAAGACTGTATTTACCTTTTTCACGCATTTCTTCTCTCTAACCTCATACCTACTCTTTGTCAAATCAGATAGCCACATCCCGGGAAAACAATACTGCCAAAAACACACAACGCACAGCATCTTCGTTATCATCTACTCACAAAGAAGATAAAAAATGCACGCTTGTGAAGGAAAAAGATAAGCAACAAAAGAACACCACTCAAAAATATATATAGGATTCCACACCTTTCCACACCTAAATTGTGGTGTTAGAAGTAGGTATGTCTGGCTTCATATTAAGACGTGATGCCGCGTAAAGCAGGGGAGTGCAATGGAGCATCAACTTCCTACATATATACTGAAAATCATAACCCTTCCTCGTTCCAGAAAAACGCAATTTCTTTCTCTAATATTAACCTCCATACCTAGCTCCTTTGTCAAAGTCAGATAGCCCACAATCCCGGGCACAAATTACAATATTCTGCCAAAAAACACACAACGCCACAGCAATCATTCCGTTACATCTACTCCACAAAAGGAAAGAATAAACCATTAATGCACCATTGTGAAAGACGAAAAAGATAAAATACAACAAAAGAAACCATTGAGCCACTCAAAAATATATATATATATAATCACACTAGTAATTAATACTTAATAATATATAATGAGAGTGTTTATAGGTATAGAATATTTTTCCTAGTATATGTAGTATATTTTAAACCTGAAGTGTCTTATCAATGTTCTTGGCTCTTGATCATTTGGGTCTTTGAGGCAGTTTTTGTGCCTGTATATATATATAAATATTTTCTAGATATGTATATATTTTACCTGAAGTGTCTTATCAATGTTCTTGGCTCTTTTCTTTGGTCTTTGAGGCAGTTTTGTGCCTTTCATTGCAAAGAAATCATCTTCTTTTTCTTTTCTTGACAAAGCAATATAAATTCTTGGCCATTCAATAACTTCAGCATTCAACTTTTCTCCAGCAGTTGTTGTTGAGGCAGTGTTATTAACAACAGCTTCTTGTTCTGATTGTGTTGGGGTCGAATCAGCACGATTTGTGTGATCAGCTTGTGATCCATTAGGTTTCTCATCTTTTGCTGGTCTAGAGCTAGCAGTTATCTTCCTATCACTTTTATCTGGGGTTGGAGGAGATCGCTTTCCGGCCATAGATCTAGAAACAGCCCGGTTACTGCTACCACTATTTCTCGATGGGGACCCATTTGCAGCAGCAGATCTCTTTTCTAAATTCCTGGTCATAGCCAAATCAAACAAGAAAAAGATGCAATTGATGAAGAAATTGCTTTGTTTGTTTGTCTTGGCTGATAAACTAAAAAGGTAAAGAGGGTTTAGACTTGATAAAAGTAGATGAAGCACTACAAACCAAAAACAAATGAATCATGATGGGGGTAGTAGAGAATAAAAGAAAAGGAAAGAATTCAATACCCACCTAATGACCTAAACAGAAACAAGAAAAGCATCTCAAAACCTCATTATTAAACTACTAGTACACACATTACACTATATCTATCTATCTATCATAAAACCATGTTCTTCTAAAAACAAAAGGGGAAATAAGGGAATGGAAAAAGAAAACGAAAAAAAAAAAAAGATTTCTTAAGAAATACATAAATTCTAACACATCAAAATAAAAATAAATACTACTCCATTAAAAGAGATGGTTAAAGTCTCAAGATAAGGACACAAGAGCCATGACATAAGCGAGAGGCACAAAAGAAAGGAATAATAATAATAAAATTTTCCTATCATGAGTGGTAACTTACCTTGACTCCATCATATCAAGCATGGCAAGCAAAGCAAGAACAAAGCAGAGCACAGCAAAATGAAATAACATAAGATGGGCTACTTCTTGGATACCCAACAAAATACCAATAGGTGAAGGGTGAAGGGAGAGAGAGAGAGAGAGATTGAGTGATATATTCTCCAATCTTTCCAGGGGTAGAAAGGTAAATCATTCAACAGAGGAAAAAAGTGCTCTTCAACAACTGGAAATGAATGAAATGAAAAGAGAGAATCTTAAAAAACTATGCCATGGTTTAAATCCAAAACCCAAAATTAAATAAAAAACATATTTTCAGAGATTTTCAAAAAGAAAAGGCAAAATCTGAAAAATCATCCCAAAAAAATTAAGTAAAAAGAAACAAATACAAAAATTTATAGAAATGAAAGGTTTATCAAGTATCAAACAAGATCCACATATAATCTTGATGATGTAATTATGAATTAATTCATACACAAAATTTAAAAAAGAAAAAATAAACCAGAATTGGAAGTTTTCAACTAAATTATACCTCTGGGAGCCAAACGCAGAGCTTTCTTTCCTAAGATTGCCACATCTACTATTATTGTACTGTTGTGGCGGTGGTGGAGGCGGCGGAGGCGGCATAGTAGGCGTACTGGAGAGTTTACTATCTGTTCTTCCAGCGAGTTTGCTAATAGGTTGCCTTGCTTGAATAGAAGACGATGACTCGTCGGCAAGTGATCGGATCTCCGACCTCGACGCTCTTGACCTCTTTTTTTGTCCCCATTGCAATAACACATCGCCACTACAGGTGGTTCCACCACGGCTTGGGCTAGGGCTGGGACTAGCATCATTTTTCTGTGTCTGGTTTTTGTTGTTGTCAGAGTGCGGAGGGCTTGAACCGCCGTTATGAAGGTGATGCTGGTGGTGGTTGTGGTGATCTTGGGTTCTAGACGGGGATCTGAATCTAAAACCTTTAGTTTCAAAACTAGTAGTAGTTAATCCATTTGATATCGATCTGCCATTTTCATTGTTGGGTTTTTTGCCATTACTCAAGGGAAGACAATCTGGGCTTACTCTCTGATATCTGCAACAAAAAGAAAATCAAATTCAATTAAAAGAAGTACTGATACAATATGAAAGCAATTGATAAAAGTAAACAGAATTCTTTCATGAACAATTAGTGAATTGAAAGTGATTGAAATTAAAAATTTTAATAAACAGAACACACATTTGTTTTTTAACTGTGAACAAAATTGCTAAACCAGTGGGGAGAGAGAGAGAGAGACAGAGAAAGAGAGAGAGACAGAGAGAGGAGAAAGGAGAAGAGAAGGAGAAGTGGTCCAGCAACAGTTAAAGGAGAGATCCAGCTTTTGATCCACTCTAGATAAAGAAAATGAGAATTACAAGAACTCATGGCTCAGAATCCATGGAAGAAGAAAACAACCGCAAAAATTAAGATTTTAAGGAATTTTTTTAGGACAGATTGGATCTGGAGATTGTCCACAGATGAATCAACAATGGTGACTGATTGAAACGAGGAATTGATTAATACCCACATCCTACGCTCTTTAGTGCATTGCTACTTTCACCATATCTGCAATCTGCAAACAAAAATCTCTTTCTAACTCAAGAAAAAGAAACAAACCTGGATCCATCAATCCATCTATCAATTTATCAAGATGGATTATCATTATCAATTTTTATAATATATCACAGGATAATCAGAGAAACAGACAACTATACATAAAATATATATTGAGGAAGCAGCAGAACAGAAAAGAGCACAGACCTCATCATTATAATCAGCAAAAGCAAACAATTTGGAGATGATGATATTGGAGGAAGAAGAAGATATTAATTACTATGTTGGTTAAAACTAAAACAAAAAATTTTCTAGGTTGGTTCATTTGTAGTGGTTTAATCAACAATAACAATGGCTTCTCCTCCTTGGTAAATCCAAGAAAACCATTGCAACACAATGGATGGGTTCAAAAACTGAGGCACAGGGACAGAAAAACAAAGGAGGCGGAGAAGAAGAACAAACACTGAGAGAGAACACGGCAACCAAAGAAGAAGTGCAAATATATATAAATAATTAATTATATATATATCAAGATTATAAAATGCACGGAAGAAAAAATACTAGTGTACAGTGCGGTGTTGTGAGATGAGAGGTTTATTGCATTTATTTGTCTATTACGAGTTTTTTTTTTTTTTTTTTTAATTTCTTCTTCTCATTGTCATTTTGGCTGTCAGACCGATCCTAGGGTTTCTAAATTTTGGCCCGGGGTGGCTACTAGTCCGCTTTTGACCCAAATCGATAAAGAAAAATTCGGATTCAAATTGACTTAAGAATACTTATCTGAACCGGATTAGGAGAATCAAGTTTTGGTTCTTTCCAAGGATTTGAGATTGCAAAAGGATCTAATTGAAATAGGACAAGAGTTGTTAAGTCCTTTATCACTAATGGAGATTGATTTGGATTCGATTGAATTGGGATCAAAATTAAAATCGAAGCTTTAGGGATTAGTTTAATTTAAAATCTCAATTTTATCTCCAGTCATCCAGATTGATTTGAAATTTGATGAGATGAGATTAGAATTAAAGTCAAAACTTTTAGAATCATTGTAATTAAATCTCAATTTCATCTCTAATCCTAAATTTTTAATTCAGTGAATCCTTTCTAAAGTTTTAGTTAAGTTTACAACCTCAAACTTGTTGATTTTCTCCCAAATTTGACTTTATATACCGGTTAGTATCTAATTTCAAACATATATTATTTAATTGCTGATAAGGTTATTATGACCGAGATTGACTTGGTTCGATTCAATTAAGATCAAGATTAAAATTATAACTTCACAGATTAGTTAATTTAAAATCTCAACTTCATCTCCAGTCTTGAAATAGGACAAGAGTTGTTAAGTCCTTTATCACCAATGGAGATTGATTTGGATTCGATTGAATTAGGATCAAAATTAAAATCGAAGCTTTAGAGATTAGTTTAATTTAAAATATCAATTTTATCTCCAGTCATCCAGATTGATTTGAAATTTGATGAGATGAGTTCAAAATTAAAGTCAGAACTTTTAGAATCATTGTAATTAAATCTCAATTTCATCTCTAATCCTAAATTTTTAATTCAGTGAACCCTTTCTAAAGTTTTAGTTGAGTTTACAACCTCAAACTTGTTGATTTTCTCTCAAATTTGACTTTATATACCGATTAGTATCTAATTTCAAACATATATTATTTAATTGCTAATGAGGTTATTATGACCGAGATTTACTTGGTTCGATTCAATTAAGATCAAGATTAAAATTATAACTTCAGAGATTAGTTAATTTAAAGTCTCAACTTCATCTCCAGTCATTAAAATTGCTTTGGAATCAATTGACTTGAGATTAAAATCAAAATCAAAATGAAAACTTTTAGGATTATTGTAACTTAAATATCAGTTTCATCTATAGTCTTAAATTATCAATTTAGTGAATCCTTTCTAAATTTTAATTGAGTTTACAATTTTAAACTTGTTGATTTTCTCCGAAGTTTGACTTTATATACTAGTTAGTATCTAATTTGAAAAATACGTTATTTAATTTTTAATGTGGGATAGAATGCTAAATATTTGTTCTATTGATCTCAAAGAGCCAACCTAAAAAGGTCGGTGAAAAAGAAAATTAGTTTGTTTTTTTTTTTTTTTTTTTTTTTTTGAGAGGGATGGAGGATTTGAGAAAAATAAAAGCTTTGTTAATGCATGTGTTCATATAATTAATAATTCGAATCACATTAATTCAATGTGGTCGGGCAGGAGGTGAGTCGGGCTTGTTTGGATTGTCTGAATCATGGAGCTTGTTTATTAGGAACTAATGAGACGCATATTGTTTTAATTCCAAAGAAAAACAATCCAGAGTTTGTGTCTGACTTGTGGCTTGTTTTTTTATGCAATGTTATCGATAAAATCGTCAGTAAGACCTTAGCTAATAGGATGAAGGCTTGTTTATCTCATGTTATTTATGAGTCCCAGAGTGCTTTTGTCCCTAGAGGCTTACCCTCTATTATCGAGCAAAATAAGAAGATGGTTTTCACTCATATTATTGACAAGCTGCTGAAACGTCTTCAAAGGTGGAAGCGTAAGATGCAATAATAGGCTGGAAAAGAAGTTTTATTGAAAATAATTGCTCAAGTGGTACCTAACTACTTGATTTTTTTTTTTACTCCCTATCTCTATATTTGACACTATCAAAAAAGCAACGAATGGTTTTTGATGGACTAGCAGTAACAATGCAAAAGCTGGGATTTGATGGGTGTCTTGGCACAACCTCTGCATGCGAAAGGAGGATGGTGGCGTTGGATTTAAATGTTTAAGGGATTTTAATGTCACTTTGTTGGTAAAGCAGGGCTAGAGGTTTCTTAGCCAACCTACGGCGTTGGTTTCACGTTTATATAAAGCCAGGTATTTTCCAAATACTTCACAATTGGAGACACAGCTGGGATCGAATCCAAGCTCCATATGGCACAATGCGCTTGATGGTAAAGTGTTGTTAAGGAGTGGCTACTTATGGCGTGTATTGGGAATGGCAAGAATGCAACGATTTTTCTTCTCTTTCGTTGCCTGATGTGTCTTCTCCATATGTTTTGTCTCCTAACAATATTGGCCTTGAGGATATTTGTGTTGCAAGTTTATTTTTGCCAGGTAAAAAAAGATAGGATATGGAGGTTTTGGGCTCTTTGTTTACTACGCAGGAGATTGGCTTAATATGTAAAATTCCTTTGAGTCTGACTGATGTTAAGGATAACTGGTCTTGGGTATATGGAAGTCAAAGGGTGTTTATTCTGTGAAATCGGGATATCAGTGCTTATATGGTATTGATGGACTATGGCACTTTGTTATCTCAAGAGTTGTGGCATAAGGTTTGGCGGGCGGAAGTGCCTGCAAAGGTGTCAAACTTTATGTGGTGACTGGCTACAAATCTATTACATGTGCGATTGAATTTGTTGAAATGAAAAGTTGAGGTTGATATATGTTCACCTATGTGTAATATTGGTGAGGAATTAGTGGTTCATGTTATATTACAGTGCCCGTTTGCAATGGAGAGTTGGAGTGTTGCAGGGTTTGACTGGCAGGTGGTCAATGTCGATGTCCAACATGGCTATTGAATTTTTCTAATGCATATGATAAGGAGCAGCGAAGGAGGGTGTTTATGGTGGCCTGGGAACTATGGCAAAGTCGCAATTAGGTTGTATGGAAGGCTCATCAAGTGTCATCCACAAAGGTTAACACATCGTGCTTTCAATTACCGTCATGAGTGGACGTAGGCGCAACACTATAAAAAGTTCTCCATAACTCAACTACTAAGTGACTCAGTTTTGACATGGAAACCTCCTTGTAGTGCTATTGTGAAGATCAATATAGATATTGCATGGGATGGTTTCTCTTTGCGGGCAGGTATTAGTTAGATAGTGCTAGACATGCAGTGTTTGTGTTTAGGATGTGTGCTTTGAATAATGCGACAAACCCTGCTCTTGCTGAGCTTTGGGTATTAGAGAGGTCTTAAGTTGGTTAAGGAATAATTTTTGTGGAAGGCAGGTGGTGGTGGAAAGTGATTGCCTGCGGGTGGTTCAATCTTTACTTAGTATAGCTGCTGATCATTTCTATTTTGGTCTTTTGGTTTAAGATTATAGATGGCTCATTCGAGAAGTCTCTACTGTGTCTATTTTGTTTGTGAAGAGATCAGCGAATCAGTGTGCCCATGTTTTGGCTTGGGCGGCTGTTTCTATGTCTGGTTTGATGGAATGGGGTATTATCCCGCCATCCATTATCTGTGATGCTTTACATTTTGATGTTATTAATATTATAAGCACTTTCATATTCAAAAGGAAATCACATTAATTCATAATGGAATGAATAATTAATTTTATTATATTTTTGGAATAAAATTCAATTTGTTCACTGAACTTGTTTAGTAGAATCAAAAAGGTCAGATTTGACATTTTACACCAATTTAGCCCTTAATGTTGCATAAAATGATTAAAAAGATCCGATTTCACTTTTTAGGCCAATTTAACCCTTGAATTTGTTTTGATTTTTATAAATTAATAATTGGTTTAATTTAAAATGTTAACTTTTATCTTTTTTTGTCCTACACTAAGAACAATCAGATCAAATTTCTTGTAAATATAATAAATTTATAATCATACATTATAATTTTAATTTATTTAACATGAAAAATTCATAGATTTCATAAGTGGTGACCCAGTAATATAGGTTAATTTTAAAATGTTCAAATTAATACATATTTATAAACTCAAAACTATCAATCAAGGTAAAAAGAGACACAATACACTTCATATATCATTTTTCTATATTTTATAATTAATTAATTTTTTAATAAATTAGTCACCTTGATCCCAACTATAGTTTTAATAAAAGATAATGATTTACATGTTGTAAGTACAATGAAGAATTAGAGGTTAAATTGACTCAAAATGTCAAATGTGATTTTTTTTTAATCATAATGATTTTCACATTGTAAATACAATGAAGAATTAGATGTCAAATTGACTAAAAATATCAAATATGTTTTTTTTAATTATTTTAAATAAGTTCAAGGGTTAAATTGTCCTAAAAAGTGAAATCGATCATTTTTAATCATTTTATACAAATTCAAGGGTTAAATTGGCCCAAAAGGTCAAATCTGACCTTTTTTTATCCTACTAAATAAGTTCAGAGACCAAATTGGAGTTTATTCCTATATTTTTAAGGACTAAATAATTTATCTTTGATATAATAAGGACCATGTAACGTATGAGGCCAAACAATCTTTCTATCTACATTAAATTAAATATATAACTTTTGAAGCATGGAAGGTGACTTGGCACGATATTAGAGTGCTATCAATATTGAGTTGGAATTATTACTTTTTTCCATTTTAATTGTATTTTTTCATATTTAAGATTTTGCTAACTATTAATTTGTCAAAGTAATTTAAACCAATATTTAAAGCAAATAATTATGCTTCTTCATTTGTTTATTCCTGTTTCTTCTACTTCTAGATGACATATTTTAATATATTTATTACGGCGTTTACATTCAATTAATCAAGCCAAATCAAATCAAACTAGTTTAGT